TGGCTCAGATGAGGCCCTAGGCACTGAATCAAGGCTACCACCCACATCCAACCTGTAGATGGACTGGGCACTGCCCATCTGACCCTCCAAGGAAGAAGGTTGAGCACCACTGTTGTAGACAAATGGTGTAAATTCTAGCTTGAGCTACTTTTTGATTTTAGTAGAATTTCTTGCTGCCTTTTGACATGCTATTGACATGTTTTCAGCATTTTTTAACCTTAGCCATAAGATGCCTTTCCAGACGAGTTGGACGAGTTGCTCTGTAAGGCATCAGCTTGCCCAACAGTCTTCTGCAAAATACTAATGTAATACATGCTAGAGCAATGGCTCGCAAAGACTGTTCAGGAGCTTTGTGTCCTGGTGTATTATACAGGTCTGTCTGTTAAGGGTGCAGCCTTTGTGTAGAAGTATGCTCTGAGTGCAGGACCCTGAAACTTTGTTTTGAGTGTATCTGGTCATCGTGGTAGGTCTGTGGTAAACTTTAATTTCTTGCAGAGCTTAAATTTTCTTGAGTGTCATTTAATTGCAGCATTGGGACTCTAACTTTGATGTCATTTGTACTAATGGTTAAACTGAGACTAGCAAGCTCCTTCTCTAAACATATTTGAATCTAGGTTTGCAAAATAATTGCACCATAATTCTTGTTCCATTTAGATAAGCATAAGTAAAGCAAACTAGAAAGTAGTTTTGAGCCCTTTGTTTAAAGTAACTTTAAAAGGTGATGGGTACATTGGAAGACGCCTTTGATTTTTAAAAAGCAGTACTTATAAAAGAAAAGCACAGTGGATCAAATAGATGCATATTTTATAAAGAGATGTGGCAACTTTTTAATAGTAAAACATTTTCAGTGTGAAAGAATATATTGTTTCATAATCTTTCTTTTCTTTCTTACTTTTTTTAAACAGCCTGGGGGCCAAGAAAAGAGCAGCACTGGCTGTAGGTAAGAATTGCAAATGATCTCTTATGTACATTTGTTTGTGAGGAAGTAATTGGCTAAGGGGACTAGAACTATACACTTTCTAATGACTGCAAATAGAAGAAAATTAGTAAATTAGTATTTATTTTACACTAAAGGAAAAAACCCCAAATGGCTGTCTTAATTAGAATTTACATCAGTTGCTGGGGAATTTTTTAATACATTCCTCTGGTCTGTGAAGAGGCTTATTATATCTTTTATTTCTTCAGAATGTAGAAGGGGAAATATAAATATGTCATATTTATTTAACCTTTCATTAAGATTTACTTTATACAGTGTCTTGCCAGAGAAGAGACGGGTTTCCTCCTTTTGCATTTCTTTTTCACCAGTCAAATACATTCCTCTACTGTTAAGTTGAAGACTTAAGACAGCTTAAAGAAGGCCCATTAAAATGTCTTTCATTTAAGACATCATGGACTGACAGTGGTATATCTGTGCAAGGCATTTCAAATAGTAATGATCTTCAGGGGCTGTTTCTTATGCCCTTTGGAAGATCTAGAATGAACTCATAGATTTCATAGACATCAGGGCTGGAAGGGACCTCGGAAGATCATCGAGTCCAGCCCTCCGCCCAAAGGGCAGGAAGTCAGCTGGGGTCATAGGATCCCAGCAAGATAAGCATCCAGTTTCATCTTGAAGGTGTTCAATGAAGGCGCTTGAACCACCTCTGGCGGCAGACAATGTTCTTGTTATAGAACAGTGTGGTAAATATCTTCAATTTCCCAGGCTGTATGTCTACTGGCTTCAGACACAGTGGGGCTT